TGTGAACTCTTCGTGGGACAAGTCCCTGCGACCAGTCCCTTCGTGTAAACTCTTCAGGGGACTAGTTGCAGGAACTAGTCGCGCGCGCAGCGACTAGTCCCCTCGTGTGTGCCGACTTTTATGCATTCGAAACAATTTCTGCTTATTTTAACGAGCACCTTTTAGTGTTTATGCATCGAAAAACGCTTAGAAAGCTTCTGTTTTAAAAGGACAATTAGCATATTTCAACCAAAGCACTTCTGAGCAACTTCTGGTCAAAAAGATTAAATTATTTTCATTTTTGAGCACCTTGATGAGAAATTTTGAGAATTTTTTTTTTTTGGAAATGTCAAGCGGTTTCTTCCCNGGGTGAGAGCGAAGCGAACGCGCGGGAATCGTGGAAACGAAACCCACTGACGTTCGCGCTTGTTCCCGCGGTATTTATTTTGCTTGCGTTCTCTTGCTAGAGAAAAGAGCTGGAGATTTGAGAAACATAGTTCTTTTAATAGCTCCACTTCTTCAATCCTTAAGTCCAATCCAGTTTTTATTCTTTCTTCTTCCGGTGCCTCTTCTTCCTAAGATTTTAAGACGATTAGCACTGGGGAGGAGAGACAGCAGTGCGCATGCTTACTACACGACGGTCAGTGTTCACGCGGGCTCAGGAAAATAGGCGGCCAACGGTTCACGAAATGGTAAAACTTTGAATTTTATTGTTGTTTTATTGTTTGCGGGATATTTTAGGGTTCGCAGGGTTTAACGTTTTATGATAAATGGATTTTAGGACGTCAAGTCAGGAATTAGCTGATAAAGAGAACCAGGGCATCCCAGATAATTGTCAAAATGGGGAGAAGCCGCGAGTCGTGTCGATATTGAAGTCTTCCCAAAAAGGAAACTGCCTTTTGGAGCCGAAAAAATCGTCGAAAGTATGTACAATAAGCGTGGTTAACACAAGGAAATAGTTTAATGTCACTTTTAACCAGTAGCACTGTGTTTCTGCTCAGTTGGTTAGTTTTGACAGAAAACAATCTTTTAATAACCTAGCTTCACAGATAGACCGGCCCCAGGCGAAGGGTTACAATCGGTCACGAAGAAGGCTTTTTACATTTTTCATGAAAAGTAGTTTACACAACTTGCATATAATCTTGGGATTCAAGTGTCATTTGCATGGCAAGAAGCCCTCTTCATGTAACTTAGCGGTATAACAAAGTGGTTTGTCCATGCATCTTTTGGCGATAATAATCTTTCCTTGTTATATTTTCGATCATATCACCGTTCCCATGGCTAATTTCGTGAATAAAACATTTGATCCTACTCAGTTCGTTGTCGGCTTGGCAGGATTTTTTTTTTTACTTTCTTCAATTTAATACAATTTAATAGGAGCTGAATCTAACCTTTTTTAAACCCAACAATAACTTAAACTTTAATTTCACAAACATTGAATAAGCTTACATGCATCAGTATCGTTTATGCAATTATTGGTTAAGTATATTAATGTGCATGTACCGCTGTGAAGTTATAATCACTGCTAATTACAATATTTTGACATTTTTATTCATTTTATATGAACATGTTTGTAATTTTAATGGCAAACGTTTTGTAAACGTGTAAAATAATGTACATGTTAAGTGATTCTTCAGAGTTTATAATTTGAGCCTTTCTAATAGATGTTTGCCTGCATTTTGTATCTGTAAAAAGAAATGACACTCTTGTATCTGTCTTGGATGGGAGATTAGAAACCTGATGTATGAAAAGATATTTCACCATTCCTCATCAACAATACGTAGGTGCCTCCTTGAGAGGACATTTAAGTGGAGGATTTGGGACCCTATATTCCATGTACCTGCTCAAAATAGGTTACTTTTCACTTCGTCTGTTGAATTAAGAGTTCTCTCATCAATCAATTATCAATATTGTTATGCTGGCTTGTCTTCATTTACATAACAGGTGTCCTTTAAAAATTCTCCTGTGCGTCACACAATCCCTTACAGCAAAGAATTACTCCACTATTGGGAGGAAATTCGGAAACTTGACGAGGAGCAAAATTGGACAGAGAGAACTCAAGTTGTAACCAAGGAAGATCACAAACTGTACATTGATATAGCAAGAGTGAGAAATATTTCCTATGTTTTATTTCTGATGACCATTTACATTAAGCCCATGGTTATTACACATGACAGCATCCAGCCAAGCTGAATCTCTTAGTCATTCATGGCTAGAAATGCAGCAAGATGTTTTCATATGAATGGAGTTTTTGTGGGTTTTAGTCTCCTGAGGTCATGGCATGAATATTTCTTGCATTGCAAGAGAATTTAGTTCCTCTAGGTCTGCATGAGCTACATAGTCGAGGCTTAGAAAAAAAAAATGAATGCCAGCTTGCCCTTTGGACCAGCAGCCATCAATTTTTCTTGCCCCAGTTTACTTCTTTTAGCATTTAGTTGGTAGACAACTTGCCTGGGTCCTTGCCCATTGGGCAAGCAAGAATGAAAAGCTACATGTACTTGCCTGGCAGGAAAATCTTCTTGTCCTGAACGGCTGGACAGCACTTTTTTCAGCCCTGATGCTGATCTTGAAAAATTCATTGGCCAATAAAACTAGGCATACCTCATTTTCATAGATGCCTGTACAATACTTGTTTAACAAACACCGCATTGTTTTCCTTCCACAGGAGTTAGTTGACAAACTTATAACTGACTTGCCCTGCTTTACATGTAGGTAAGAGGAGTTGACTTGTAAACACAAAATGGTTACCATACTGTGCATGTACTGTTCAAAACATTTTACATGCAGTGAAATGTATTGCTTATTAAAATAAAGGTTCAAAACATCTCTTTTAATGGTGCATAATGTCAACAGGAGGTGTCAAGGGTGAAATGATAAATTAAATATTATTAATTAATTTTATGGAGCCAGTTTTGAAAGAAGCACCACTAGACAACATTGGACCTCTTAATTCTGAAACCTCAGTTCTCAAAGTGTGCTTCTTTAAGCTGGTGTTTCATAGTTGAGGCTGATTGATTAAGAGAAAATGCATGAAGCTCTGTTTATCATGACTGATGATTTTATTTTCAACCAACTTCACAGTGAGCAAGCAACTACTGCAGCAAATATGACAACAAGTTCTGACCTCCCAGAAATAAATGCACCGGAAATATCCCCCAGTGATGATATCAGTGATGGGAGTGCAGCATATTTGGATGCAGGTGATGATGATCTAGAGGGAGAGCTCATGTCAGACTTTTCAAAGCTTCAAATCGATAGCAATGACTGTCCACGGACATTTTCACCTATCGGCAGTGAGAGGACATCACCTGAACAAGGTTTGCAGCACTTGTGATTAACTTCGCTATGGGGTTTTTGATATATAGTGAACTTGGTTAAGATATTTCAAAACAAAAGTAGTAAAGTTAGTTCTTTGTTATATTTCTGACCTCCTGGAAGATGCTCACTGAGTCTTACAAAAGGATTTCACTTAAACTGTGCTACCTTGAACTCACAAGGGAAACCAATTTGATACACAATCACGGCTTGAAATAACGGTCGTCCGGTCATCCAGGACAAGTACAGATTTTCCTACTGGGCAAGTAACTTCTCATTCTCACTTGCCGAATGGACAAGGGCCCAGGCAATAGAGGAGTTCACGCTCTAAGGGGCATTATGGGTTATTAGGCCAAGGTTGTAAAGAAACAGGAGCAAAATATAGATTTTCTTCATACTTCCATTCTGAGTTTCATTTTCAAGAAGAAACTTTTACTGTAAATGCAGAAACCTCTTTTCTACTTTTATTAGAGTCGATTTAGCTAGGCATTAGCCTACATGTACTTATCAGAGTGACTGAGATGTTATTTTTGTGGCTTGAGTGGCTAAGACTTAATCAAATAATTTGGTTTTAACCGTAAAAATAATCCTATGCCCACAACAATCACTCAATCAAAAACACTGGTAAAAAGGCGTTTCTCCATCTACAGTATATGTTTTGTCTCCAAATGTGAAATCGGAATGGAATTATAAAGACAAACATTTGTTCACGGCTTTGCTTCTTTGTAAATTTGCCCTTTGGCTAATAACCCATACCGCTAAATTAATGCCCCTTAGAGTGTGAACTCCACTATTCGTCTGCCAAGCGGTAAATAACTAAGAAAAAATTAAACTAAGACTTGCCATGGGAAAGCAAAATTTAAGAGCTTCTTGTTGAAGGGCAAGAGTTTTGTTTGAGCCTTTAGAATGAGTGCAGTTCAATATACATAGTCATGTAGCTAATAGTGCTTGACTGAAAAAGCACATGATACTATCATACAAGGGAAAGTGATTTGAGTTTGGGATATGGAGGAGTTCAAGATACCAGAGTTTGGGGTAGATGTACACGTAGCGAAGTCGTCCTTTTTTACAAGCTGATACAGTTCAGCAGCAGGCTAATTTTGTGTAATAAAATTATAATTATAATACTAAATAAAACTTTATGTATGCTTTGCAGATAATTTAATGGATAGCAATGAAGACATTGACAAACTCCTAGCTCCACATGAAAATGACAATCTAGAAGACGATGTGCTTTTAATGGGAAATACTAGAACGGATAACTTGTTGAAGGAAATAACAAGTGACGAACGCTCTTACAAGTCTGCTGGACTGTTTTCCGTGAATCCCTCAGACCTTGAGAATGAGTTCCAAGAGGATCAAGCTCTTGAAGATCTGGTCAGCAGTGAAAAGACTGTAGACATTCAGGACTTGTTTGCAAAGGATGCTGAAAATCAACAAGAGGATGACGATCAGTTTGGAGATGATGCGTTTAAACCAGCTAGTGAAGGTACTTATATCATTTCTGATATCATGTATTTTATTTACACTTACATGTACATTGAACAAGCCCACAACTTTTTCAAGACAAGAATTTTGTGGGTGTAAGGTTTTCATTTCAAAGTACATGTAGCATTGTTAGTGCTAAATATCTCAAAACAAAGAATTAACAAATTGATGTTAGTTTTTCATGCATCTGTCCTTTATTGATCATGAATTTTGTCAACATTGTCAACGTAGCTGCTTTGACAATGTTATGATAAAATTCATTGTCAATAACAGGACAGATGTATTAGAAACTGATGTCTTGATTTGTTTTTTACAATAACAAATTGTCCGTTCTTGCTTGCTGATGCATCGCATAAATGATAAATTTATGTGTCCGTCCACTTATTGACAAGGAAAACTAGCCACTGAGCATGCAGAAATTTCTGCAGTTATCGTAAAGAAATAAATAGATAAATGTGTGGTACCAGAAAAATCCATCCCTCCCCTTGCCCCTCTGGAAATTCCAATTAATTTATGCTTCATACCTTTCTTTAAATTTTGTGGTCTTAGACTTACAGACCCCCACCCCAAAACCCAAACTACATATTTCTTGCAATGCTACAGCAATGTTACTTGACTAACATTGGTATTGTTAAAATTTATCTGCACTGTGACATTGTGTACTGTAGGTTAATTGGGTATGAATGATTCTGCCCAATACACTGGTCACTGTGTGTGATGTTCTGATTGTGTTTTTACAACAGCTATGTGGGAACTTGACTATCTTGAGCAGTGCGGCAATAGTGATAAAGACTTTGAAATGGTAAGTGCTGAGTGCTTTTTGAATTATTTTTTTTTTTGTGTACATTCATTACTTGAAATTAATGACTTTCAACTTTCTGAAATGCACAGCAAAGTTCATCTCATTCTCACATTAGTACAACTTAATCCTACAATGTATTAATTTAATCCAAAAATTAATTTGTTTTAATCCTTTCTTTTAGCAGCTTCTGCAATAAAAAATATCCTACTTTTAAGTGGATTTATTGACTCATATTAACTTGTGATCTCTGTTCATTATCATAAAATTAAAGAACTCATAAGAAGCAGGTTGTTCCTGTGCCTCAAAAAGAAGTGTCAAGTTCTTTATATCTACAGCTGTACCTGAGTAAATAACAGTTACATTGTTAATACCTACTTGTCTGTTGTCTGGTATAGCTGTTTTCACTTTTCATTTGAAAATTTTTTATTAAGTAAAATGTATTAAGTAAAATGTAAATTTTAATACCTGTACATGTAAAGCTTTTGAGTATCGTATCAATTTCTTCAAGCAGTGTTCTTTCATTGTCTCTAATCGATGTAGACTACACTAGCCTAATTAAGTTACAAGTATGTCCAAATTGTCATGACAAAGTACTGTACCTGTTTTATGGGTCTTTGATTTCTCTTCAGTTTTGTCACCCTGTGTTTATTACACTGTAGATCCTGAATGATATAAATTTTAAGTGATCTTCAAATTGAATTAGGCCACAAAATTGTACAATGAGATCATTCTTTGATTCAATTCAAACCCCTGCCAGACGATGGTTATGAATTATTTATAATGCCATGGAGGTCTTTTCAGACAAATTATGTGGCCTGTCTCGGTTCTTATTTTGATGCTGCACTCTGCCTATATTGGCCAGTTTAAGGTAAATATGTCACACTTGAACACCTGCCAGGATTGATCTCATTGACTGAATAACAAGCAAATATAGTACAGACCTCACAAGTTGTCAGGCTTGGAAAAAATATACTGGTAATTCCAATTCAGTGAAATTAAATCACAAATGAAGAAAATCTTCGTTAAGATTGCAGGTAAGTAAGTAGTTTAATTTGTGTTCACATGTACAAGACTTCTAAATTTTGGCAATCCCAGGAGCACTTAGAAGATATATTAAGCAATTATCTCAGGTGATA